AAACTCTTCCCATTTTCATCCCTGTTTCTCTCACCCACTCACCTTCAAAAAGTAGATCTTAAAATTCAGGATGAGTGAGTATTGTTGCCTTCAGATGGACATTTGGGGAAGCCAGGTTAGATCAGTCAACAACGTTGCCACTTCTCAGAATAGTTTTACAGCTTTTCTTTTAGAATTATTTTCAGCCCCATGACAGTATTTACAAAATACTGAATCTTGAGATGAGGCTGCACCTGTGCTGCTTAGATATATAAATGCCCATTAATGAGTACAATTTTTAAAACATGTTGTGTGTTTGCCGGGCCAGCATGGCTCAGTGGTTGAGCATCAGCCTATGAGCCAGTAGATCCCCGTTGGATTGCCAGTCGGGGCACATTCCTGGATTGCCAGCTCTACCCCCAGTGGGAGGCGTGCAGGAGGCAGCCAATCAATGACTCTCTCATCATTGATATTTCTCTCTCTCTCTCTCTCTCTCTCTCCCTTCCTCTCTCTGAAATCAGTAGAGATTTTTTTTAAAAAAAACATGTTGTGTGCTATATAAACTTTGAAATAAACTCTACATGTTGCATGTTGCAGAAATGCTAAGGTTACATTTTTAATAATAGTAAATAAATGCTCAGAAGTGAATCCATATTCTTATAAACCATTAAAAGATATCGATACCTTTGATGATAGATATATTTTTTAGAGAATTTCAAAACTAAGAGCCATGTTGTGTGAATAAGAAAGCCATTCAGACTTAATTAAACATTTTGAACTATTCCTTTAAAGTAATGAGACAGTTCTTTAATTTTTATTCTGCAACTCCTAGAAATGATTTGAGGCATAGCTCCATTTTGTAGCTATGTCATAAAATTACTGTAAATGTTGTGGTAAGACCATCAGAAGTGTTTCACGGAATGGTAGCATCATTTGCCCAATTATAGACATTTCCAGAATGACTAGTTTTTAAACAGTGAGGATTCATTTCTGTGTGTGTATGTATATTTGTTAAACACTTACATTTAATGTTATCTCAGTGCAGTTACTTACTGAAATCTTTATTATTTAAATTTAAGTAACAGTGGAATTGGTTATATTGTATTTTCTTTTCCCTTGAAATAATTTATATAATGGAATTTAAGTGAAACTTTATTATAGGTAGAAATACAGTTATCCTAAACTCTCAGCGTCCACATTTTACTACCCATTATGTAAAATGTCAATGTTACCATAGTAAAGTCTTGTTCTATCTTGTCTTTGTTGTAAGGAGATATTACTTATTTTGAAATAGTGAAACCTGAAAAAATAGACAAGAATATAGGAAGTATGTTTTATCGTGAAGACACACTTTAATAAAAGCTTTGTAGTGTGTTTATATTTTGTTTCAAGATCCTAAAAAAATTGTTTTGCTCTGTTTAAAATTCTTTTATATAAGGCAGGAAATGGAGAGGGTAGATTCATTTAGATTTAAATTTCAAATCATGCCCTAGCCAGTTGGCTCAGTGGTTAGAGCGTCGGTCTTCGGACTGAAGGGTTTCAGGTTCAATTCCCATGGTCAAGGGCATATACCTCAGTTGCATGCTCAATCCGAGAGTATGGGAGGCAACCAATCAGTGTTTCTCTCTCACATTGATGTTTCTCTCTCTCCTTTCCACTCTCTCTGAAAAAGCAATGGAAAAAATATCCTCAGGTGAGGATTTAAAAAAAAGAAAAAAGAAATAAACTTTGAATTGTTCGGTTTTGAATATTTTTCACATAAATAAAATTTTGATTTAAATTATGGGGTCATTCGTATTTAAATAGGCAGTTCAGATTAATTTCTGTTTAGAAATGGATGACACGTAAGTATCAGAGATAAGCTACTTCTGAAGTACCTTATATTTTTAACTTGTTACAGATAGATTCTTATTTTCAATTCCAGTCTTATATATTTAAATCCAATGAAAAACTTTACCAAACCAGTACAATTAAAATGTTGAAATGCTACACTTAGAAAGTTAGTGCTATTGTCAAAAATAATAACCTACAGCCATTTTAGGTAAAGAACCTAACTTACTATGTTTGTTCCAGGACATTATTTGATAGAAAGTCTTATTTTTTAATAAACTATATATTGTTGTAACTAGAATTATCTTTTTGTGGATTCTGTTATATTGAAACAAGCTTACTGTTTTTTCTTTGTCTACTATGTTGAGATACAATTCAATATTTTTAAAATGTATCTATTTTAATTGGACAGTTGAGTTTTGACCATTGTAACCTACCCCCACCCCCAATTTTTTTGTACCCCTTTTGTAGTCAGTGCACCTACTGTACCCTGGCCAGCTTTCTTTTGTCACAAAATAGTTTTTTCTTTTTTAAAAAAAAACAACAGTCTTCTTGAAGTGTAATTTATATACAATAAAGTACATGCTTTACCCTTTCATTAATTGTTTTTCCTCCTACCAAAAGACATTATTTTGCCTTAAGATGTGGAGTGGTGTACGAGGATATAAGTTTTGGAGAAAAAGTTTGATTCCATATAGTCTTAAGTTTCCATGTAATTTGTTAGTAAATTCGGAGTTAAGATATTGCAGTACCTTTTGTATTGTAGATAGAGTGTATTATAAACAAGCATCATTAAAGTATGACAGTTTCACTTTGTTTGGTGACTTGTATATCCTGGAAGTTTGATTTTAAGAGGCTGCTCTTTTCACATGGATAAGTTTCTAGTTTCTTTGCTTGAAGATATTTTTTTTATGAGTTGTTTTGCTATTTTGGTTATGGGTTCTTTCTCCTCCTCCTTCCTAGAATATTAAACTTAAATTAATGAAGTGATACTGAACTGGGAAAGTGTTTTAAACTAGTGTTAATATTATCTACATAAAAAAATATAATTTTATTAATTAAATCATTAAAAAACTTAATATTTTTGTGCCTAAAAGAACATTGTCCAATTAGAATAATGTCAGGGGTAAACCAACAGCTGTATTGAAAATGTAATGGATTTTTAGGAACTAGAGCACAGAGGATATAAAATGTCAATGGGAATATTTTTAATAATATATTGTACCTAATTTTAATGACTCCTCATCTTAATCTTGAAAATCAACTATTATTTTAATTGGTTGGTTGAGTTTTATATTAGATGTATACCAAGAATAATTAGATGTTATTTTACCTCTTAAACTTAGAGACTGCTGCTAAATGTATGCACAGTACTTTAAAAAAATAACAGTAGAAAGTAATCAAAGATCTAAAATACTTGTATAGATTTCAGGTACAGTAAATCATGTAGTTCAAAGTTATGAATTTAATAAAATACCAAAAATGCCTAAAAACTGATTTGAAAAGAAAACTACCTTAAGTCACAGCTAAATTTTATAGTTTGGTTTAATCATGTCGAAGCTAAGCGTATATATATTATCATTCTGTATAGTCTGTCATCAGCCCATCCTTACTCCAAAGCAGTGATATAAAATACAGTAAAAATGTTGGCTTATATTTTTTAATGGGACCTGGCTTTTGAAAAGCTTATTCTTTTTCCTAGCAAAACAGAGACAAATTAAGTAACTTCCTCACGGTGTCAAAAATTCAGGCAAGGAGGTGTCATTAGAACCTAAAGTCTGTTATATAATAAAGCAGTTTTCTGAATTCATGTGTTAAAAAGTTGACAAATTATTTTACCTGTTTTTAGTTATGTAGACACATTTGTGTAATTAAAATTAAGTATGTAATATTTATTTGTCAGCAAAATTATTACAGTGTTTTTTCTAACATAAGGCCTATTTGCTAAAATTTGTTTAAAAATAACTGAATTAATAGCAAAAAAAATAACATGTTGATTTAATTATAAGCAAATCTTGGTTAGAAACATTTTAAAATTAACAGGGTGTTGCCCAGCCTGCATGGCTCTGTGGTTGAGCATCCACCTATAACCCAGGAGATCGAGGTTCAATTCCCTCTCAAGGCATATGCATGGGTTTCGGGCTAGATCCCCAGAAGGTAGCCAATTAATGACTCTCATCGTTGATGTTTTTAGCTCTCCTTCTCCCTTCCTCTCCCTGAAATCAGTAAAAACATGAAAAAAAAATTAGCAAGATATTAATTTTCACATATGATATACAGACCAGAAATTTTGTCCATTAAGTCAAGGTCCACAAAATCAAGAGTTTACTGTACTTGGAAGTTATTTTTTTTTAATGTTCAATTTCTTTGCCTATTTTATTGGTACTGCATTTGTCTGGAGGGTGGTGAGTATAAAAGTGATGCTCTGAAGAGTACCAACGCCATCAAAGTTAGAGAAAAGTATTATTACAGTGCTAAGTCTGAGTATACCCCAATATCCCAGAGTTCAATTATTTTTCAATGCATGATTACTTAACAAACTGGTAAAGTTAAGAATTTTTTGTGTGACGTGAACTGTCAAGGTGGCTACAAAAATGAAAAAGATACAATCTTCTTCCGGAAGAATCAAGTTTAGGAGTAATTATAAAATCTAAGCATAATCAAGTGATAAAAGCCATAATCATGATATGTTAAGAATGGTTGAGAATACAGAGACATACTGCCTGGTATAATAAGAGAGGCTTCATTGAGACAGTGATAAGTGATAGTACCGGAAATAGTACCATAAAGAAATAGTACTGAAAGTTTTCCTCTTATTATTACTTTAAAAAAATTATTGTTTATTTCTTTGGTATACAAAGAGAATTAAAAGTGGTTCAAGACATCTTACCCATCTCATTATTGTTACTTTTATGCCTTTGTTCTATCCAGTTTTTATAACAACTTATTAATTTATAGGAAAACTCTTGTTTTCTCTTAGGTATTTTCCAGTTTTATTGAGATACAATTAACAACCTTGTATTAGTTTAAGGTGTACAACATAATGATTATATATATACACAAACACACATATATAGTGAATTATTACATTAAGTTAACATCTGTCATTTCACACAGTTACATTGTTTTTCTTGTGATGATTAAGTATTTTTTATTTAATTTTTTTTCATGTAGTTTACTTTCTTTTTTAGACTGAATCTGGTTATGGATCTGAATCCAGCTTGCGTCGACATGGCTCAATGGTGTCACTGGTGTCTGGAGCAAGTGGCTATTCTGCAACATCCACCTCTTCATTCAAGGTTTGTGGTTGTGAATGCTTTAAGTTAAGGCCTCTTAAATTGAATTCAGTACTGAATGTTGTGAACAAAAGTTGTTTGATGTTTTTCAAAAGAACTTTTCTACAATGTAATTTGTTATTACAGAATAGCTTTTCGAGGATTAAAATTTATGAGTTATACAAATATAAAATCAACACATTCAAAGATTTTATTTCATTCATTAATAAATAAGATGTAAAGAAAAATTTTGGTTCAAAGGAGAATATGAAGAATGCCAAAATGATTTTTGCTAATATATGCAAAACTGTTTGGTATCTACAGATTAGAAACTAGTGTATCTCCACTGAACAAAGTTCATTTGCATATTATTTGCAAAGTTCATTTGGACAGGGATCATTTACATTACCCTCAGATTTGTGCTACTTAAAGAGTTACAAAATAGGCCAAATGTAATGAAATCAAAGACTTCTATATGCTAAGACAACCACCTGTGGGTTCCATAAATGCTAAAAGTTCCATGAATGACACACACCATTCCTTTGAAAGGACATTCAGTAATATTTTTGCCCATTTCAAAGTCTTTTACAATTTTTTCTCACATTGTAAATAATTTGAAAATATTAAATTTTACATGAACAAATTGTCAGGCTTATTTGCTCTCTTATTTCCTTCAGGTATATCACGATCTAGCCACTGTTAGTCAGTTTCCAGTTAATTCCTAGGAGTTATTACATTGAGCTTGACAGCTCTCCCTACCCCTTGATGGCCCTCATTAGTAAGATGTAGACCTTAAAAGGTGATGAAATACCATAGGACTAAATAAAGTTTTGTTAACTTGGATTACTTCCCACACACACACACCTTTTTGTGTTTTGCAGAAAGGCCACAGTTTACGTGAGAAATTGGCTGAAATGGAAACCTTTAGAGATATCCTATGTAGACAAGTTGATACTCTACAGAAGTACTTTGATGCCTGTGCTGATGCTGTCTCCAAGGATGAACTTCAAAGGGATAAAGGTTAATTAGGCTATTACCACTATTTTTACTTGGAGAATGAATGGATTTAAAGCCTCTTGATCTTAAAGGGTAATGTCTTTAACTAATAAAGGTAATTATAGTCACTTGCTGCACACCCCCAAAGTAACAGATTTCAGTGTCTATATAACTTGTATACTTTAATAACACGTCTTAATTAATCTGATCACTCATACCAGATTCCACTGAAGATTTTTAAATGATTCTTAAGCTCTCTATTTTATTAAAAAATACAGTATCATCAGTAATACAGGGCATTTTACATTATTTTGTCTACTAAATGTACCCAATGCTGAGTCTTAGAGACAGGCATATGTTTGTGTTACCCCCTCCCTTCTGGAATCAGCTGATCTCTTTCTCCCTCTCTCTCTTCTCTCTCCTCCCTTTCTTTCTCTTTTCATCTTTCTCTCCCTCCTCATCCCTTCCTCTGGCCTTTTTTTTTTTTTTAATGGACGAGGAAATCAATAATGGAGCTATATGTACATTTAAAAATAATTTCATAGTGAGTTTTTTTGAGAGAGCTCTTCAGTTAACTTACAGCATGAGTTTTGAACTTTCCCTTTGTTACTGCTGGAGACGTTACTGATGTTGTCAAGAGCTATTCTTCACTACTTCTCTTACTGTGAAGGCAAAAACGAGCTGGTCAGAATTATTACTAAATGGCACTAAGTTTATTCACAGTGTAACTAAATTGCTTGACAGGTTTCATTTCTTGATTTTATTAAATGTGTTTGATCTGAGTTTGAATTCTTTTTGTCTTCTCTGTTCTTTATTTCCTTTTTCTGTGTGCTTTGAGATTGAGTATATTTTTATAACTCCATTTTTTATCTCCTTTGTTTGCTTTTTAGTTATTATTGTTATTTTAGTAGCTACTTTAGTTTATAGTATGCACATTTAATTTATCAGTCTGTCTTCAAGTAATATACCACAAGTACACTTTTCCCTGCCCCGTGTAGGCTTTGGTTACTTTTTCCTGGAAGCCTTTCAGTTGGTTCTTTCCCTGACCTCTACAGTTCCCTCATTTGTATTTGCTGTCAGTACTCTACTGAATACTCAAGGGGACCTTCTGTCAGTCTCTCTATGCAGCTGTCTCCTCTCTAGTACTCTGCCTTGTAAGCTCTAGTTGCCTTTGTCTCTCTGGACTCTCAGCTCCATTTCCTCACCTCAGAGAGTCTACTGGGCTGCTCCTGGGCTCCTCTTTACTCTAGAGCTTGGAATCTCTCCCAAGGCAGTAAGTTGGATAATCATAGAGCTCATATCATTTGTTGATTGCCACTTGGGGATCGCTGTCCTTTTTTGACTGATATACAATGTCTTGTAAACCATTGTTTCATATATTTTTCCAGGTTTTAGTTTCATGATAGAGGGTAAATTCAGTTCCTTTATTCTATACTGGCCAAAAGCAGAAGCCCATATTCTTCTTAAAATTTAGACAAAAAATAAGTAGCCTTGAAGTTTTTTATATTTGATACACTTTAAGTTTTTGGTTCTTTAACATTTGATGTTTATTTCTCTAAAAATAAAGGTAGTTGAACTATTTCTTCTTCATTAAAAATATATATGTATACATAATAGTTCTTCAGTATTCATGGGAATTGATTCCAGGACCCCTGGCTTATAACATAATCAGCAGATGCCCAAGTCCCTCCTATAAAATGGAGTAATAGCCCAGCCAGCATGGCCCAGTGGTTGAGTATCAACCCATGAACCATGAGGTCACAATTCAATTCCTGGTGAGGGCACATGCTGGGGTTGTGGGCTTGATCCCCAGTAGGAGGCATGCAGGAGGCAGCCAATTGATGACTCTCACCATTGATGTTTCTCTCTCTCTTCCTCTCCCTTCCTCTTTCACAAATCAATAAAAAAAAATCATTTCTTAATTACTAGCAATACCTAATCCAATGTAAATGCTATGTAAATAGTTGTTATAATGTGTTGTTTAGGGAATAATCACAAGGGAAAAAGTATGTTCATGTTTAGTATAAGACACAACCATTGTAGGCCTAGCTACAAAGCACATGTCAGCAATGGTGTAACTTTTTTCAAATATTTTCAGTTCATTGTTTAGTTGAATCCACAGATACAGAGAGCTGACTATATATAACCTTTTTATCAAATTAAACATTACACATCAGCTTTCATGTGCTTGAAAATACCCCTTTAAACTAAATCAGTATATATTGGAATTGGATTCCTCGTTTATTTTTAACTGATCAACATCAAAAGTATATAGCATTTGAAAGACAAAAGTGATGGTGGGAGGAGTAGAAGTTGAGATGCAGTTATAACCAGGTTGTGTGGAAGATTAGAAAAATTATTTTAAACATTCATTTTGAATAAATAACAGTAGTAGACTAATGCATTAGTTTGCTAGCTAGGGCTGCTATCATGAAGTACCACAGACTGGGTGGCTTAAACAACAGAAATTAATTTTCTCACAGTTCTGAAAGCTGGAAGCCTGAAATCAAGTTGTTGGTAGGGTTGGTTCCCTCTGAGGGCCATGAGGAAAGGATGTGTTCGAGGCCTCTCCCCTTGGCTTATAGATGTTCGTCTTTTCCCGGTGTTTTTACACCATCTTTCGTCTGTGTCTATGTCCAAATTTCTTCCTCTAATAAGGACACCAGTCGTATTGGATTAGGGCCCACCCTAATAACCTCATTTTAACTTGATTACCTTCATAAAGTTGCTGTCTCCAAATACAGTCACATTCTGAGATAAGGGAGTTATTAGGACTTGGACATATGAATTTTGGGGGGTACACAATTCCCCCATAACAATTGTTTTTTCTATAAATGCTCTTTTTAGAAACATTGACAATTTTAAGGCTACATGTATGTGGATAAAGATGAAATAAGAACATGGACCTTAGTTTTCTACTTTGTAGGTCAGAGTTCCTGACCTAAGACTAGGGATCTCTATAGGTGCACTTTCATTAAATTATCAGACTGCCCAGCCAGGCGTGGCTCAGTGGTTGAGCATCGACCTAGGATCCAGGCGATCGGGGTTCGATTCCCAGTCAGGGCACATGCCCGGGTTGCGGGCTCGATCCCCAGTTGGGGGCGTGCAGGAGGGAGGCAGCCAATCAATGACTCTCTCTTCATTGATGTTTCTGTCCCTCTCTCTCTCCCTTCCTCTCTCTGAAATCAATAAAGATATATTTAAAATAAAAATAAAAATAACTTACCAGACTAAGTCTGTGAATTTTAAGAATTATTGTTCTTGTCCAGCTGGCATGGCTCAGCAGTTGAGCATCGATCTATGACCCAAGAAGTGGAGGTACGATTCCTGGTCAGGGCACATGCCTGGGTTGAGGGTTTGATCCCCAGTAGGGGGCATGCAGGAGACAGCTGATCAGTGACACTCTCATCATTGATGTTTCTCTCCCTCTCTCCCTTTCTCCCTCTCTCCCTCTCTGCCTCTCTGCCTCTCTGCCTCTCTCCCCCTCTCTCTCCCCCTCTCTCTCTCCTCCCTTCCTCTCTCTGAAATCAATAAAGATATATTTAAAAAAAGAAAGAACGAAAAAGAAAAACTCAGTTTTAAAAAACAAACAAACACAAAACTGTTCTTCAGTAAGTATGTCATTGAAATGATAATAGCAAGCTCTCATTTTTTATGCAATCATCATTTTTTCATATAAAATGATTTATCAGAATTGCCAATACAGCAGTTCTAAGCTAACTTTCCACCACTCCCACACATACTTTAGTAAGATGTAATTCTTTAGGTCTTAGATAATCTGGGATTACAGAAGTCAAAGACATTATCTTTAACCTAAACATACTGCTTGATTTTAAAAACAAGATATAGGTACCACATTAAAGGAAAGACTTCTATTCTTTGAGGAAACATTTCTTCATATCAGATTCCTCAACTGTAAAATCAATATTATATTCTACACATACAGTTATAATTAAAATGAATTATTTATTTAGCACTCTGCTTAACAGCAAAAAATCCCCCACAAATAAAAGCTGGTATTACTAATATAATTAATTTGGGTTATTGAGGGGATAGGGAAAGCAGGAACATGCAAGATCCAAAGATAGAATTTAGCATAATGGATTTGAGTGTTAGTAAGGGAAATTGGTCTGATTGGGAAAGGGGATTTGTATTAGGACAGTGTTTACAAACCATGTCAGATATTCCTTAAGGCGCCTCAAGAATGGACAAAGGAGCATTTGGTTGGGAAGGAAAGGGGGAAGGCCTCTTGTTTAGTCAGAGAGGCTCTTGTTTTCATCAGTTTTTTCATATTATATATTGAGTATTGGGCTAGAAAAAGAAGGTTGAAAATCTCTGTTTGGTGATACAAAGCTATCGAATGGTGAGGGATACAAAAGTGAATCTTCAGTAATCCAAAGTAGATACTAATGAGATGAGTGAAGTGCAAACCTTTCAGTGTTTAAGAGCAGTTGATCAGCCCTAGCCTGTTTGTTCAATGGTCAGAGCGTTGGCCATCAGACTGAAGGGTCCCAGGTTTGATTCTGGCCAAGGGCACATAATTCAGTTGCAGGCTCGATCCCAGCTTTGGCTGGGCATATAGGAGGCAACCAATCTATGTGTCCCTCTCACATCAATGTTTCTCTCCCTTCCACTCTGAAAAGCAATGGAAAAAGTATCCTCGGGTGAGGATTAAAAAAAAAAGAGAGCAGTTCATCAGGGTTGTATTGAGTCAAGGTCAGGATCTTGTGTGATGATGAGTACTGATTTAAAAACAGAGCAGTGTACTATTAATGAATTTCTAGAATTGACCATATATGTAAATGACTGATGAGGCAATGAAGATTTGGGAATCTGATTAATCTTGGGATTTAGGTGTCTGCCGAGGCTTCAATATGGATATTGAAGTCTATAGAAATGATGGACTTGGAAAACACAGTGTCAGTCTGATATTGGTATCAGTTAGCTGGATAGAAATTGAGTAATAGGTGTTAGTAGATAATAGCAGCTTATGGTTTGAAAAAGTTGTTACAGATGAGTAGCAAAATTTTCAAGTGATGAAAAAATGAAATAGCCCAGAGTTAGAAATGGCAGTACAGAATAAAGGTGTTTTCTTTGGTGATTTCTACCGTTCAGTGAAGGGAGGGAATGAGGAGTAGGAGTGGGCTTGTGTCTGTTGGAAAGAAGGCTAAAATGGACGAAATGTTCCTTGTGAAGTCACATTACCCCTGAGGTAGAGAGCAAGTCAAGAAGAGGACAGTTTAGAATGATGATTCTCTCTGTAGAAAGAGTTTCTCAAAAGATAATAAAATAAAAAGCCATAAAAGTGCTTGATAGAAAGCAAGAAATAAGGTAGGGGGCTGAGGTTTAGAAATTTGCATTAAGAGTGGAATATATAGTGGGGAAGATTAAAGTGTGTTAGGCAGTAGAAAAAGAGTACCTAGAACAAAGAGGTATGCAGAGGAGAACACGAGATCTTGTTCTTTCTAGAATTGCGTTAAGTTAAAAGGAGGTGGTCCAGGCACAGGGTTGAATGAAAATCAGTAATCACATCTGTAAGTCATTATATTTTCCCTGCATATTCAGAAATGGTAAATTTAGGAACTCCCAGAGGCAAGCCAAGGTATCCGCTGAATGGAGTTATCCTCTTTCAGTCCTGCTCAGCCCTTATAGGTCTTTGATGGAATTACGAAATTGCCCCAAGGTAGGTAGGAAGAGGTAGGAAGACTAAAGGGCACAATAATTCATATCTTAATGCCATCTCTTAGGCAAATGAGAATGGATACAGTTTTCATGATAATGTATTATTGCACACATTCTACAGCATATTTATTGAGTGTTTCTTGATAAGCACTGAAATACAAAGAAGAATAAGATCTTGTACTCAGAAAATCCAGAGTGTGTTGACTCAGTTGAATGTAGGAATAAACTGGTTAATTTCTATTTTCTTTCATCCTAATATCCCTAAATATATTTTATTTAGTGGTAGAAGATGATGAAGATGACTTTCCTACAACACGTTCTGATGGAGACTTCTTGCATAATACCAATGGCAATAAGGAAAAGAGTAAGTAGTACATTTTCCTACCTCGGCTGGATAAAATACACTTTCTAAAATTATATAATCACTTACTATACAACAAGAATAATTATCTAAGTGAGTAATTTTTAAAAAGCAGTGGAACTGGTGGAAAGTGAAAGTTTTTCCTGGAAAAAGACATACAGGTAAAATACACATTCTTATATTAAATAATAATGGCCAATAATTATCTAACAAAGACTCATTCTAAATTCCAGACAATGGCCCACTTATTGTGGCAGTATTTGGTAGAATCAGTTTCTAGAACTGAAAAGGTTTCTTAGGGGGGAAGCATTGTAATTGAACTTAAATGTTTGTTTAGAGTATGTTTCTCTTTTTTTAATATTCTTTTCTCTCTCCACTGGATAAACTGGTGTTGAAAAGTATATTATCAGTGTTATTAAAGGAAAATTATTGAACTAGCTCCGATTTCAGCACAATTGTTTATAGACCAGGAACAAAGTGGTTTATTTCATAGGCGGATTTATTAATTGTTTCTTTATTTAGAATGGATAACTCATTAGATGGAATTCTGAATTGTTTATTAGAAACCTCTGATTTGTGACAACATGGATCAACCTAAAGGGCATCATGCTAAGAGAAATAAGCTAAAGACAAATACCACATGGCATCACTTACACATGGACTCTTAAAACACCAGAAACCTATGACTAATAGTCAGTGTTCCTGTTTTGACATCTCCTAGGAAAAAGCTAGAGTGGATTCCGAAAATTTTTTAAAGTTACAAATAAGCCTTTGTAGAAAAAAAATAAGTTAATCTAATTGTGCTTATTTTTGCTGAAGTTAAAGACTATGAAGTAATCTGAGGCTGTGTAACGTTTTCTCTTTTTTTTAATTTTTTTTTTTTTTTAAATCTTCACCTGAGGATATTTTTTCCATTGCTTTCCAGAGAGAGTGGGAGGGAGAGAGAGAGGAGAGAAGAGGAGAATCGATGTGACAGAGACACATCGATTGGCTGCCTCTTGCACTCACCCCAATTGGGGCCAGGGATCGAGCCTCCAGCCAAGGTACTTGCCCTTGGCTGGAATCAAACCCAGGACCCTTCAGTCCGCTGGCCAACTCTCTAACCACTGAGCCAAACCAGCTAGGGGTTATTTTCAAGTAATTTCTTTTTTAAACTGTTGTATGCATGGAAGTAATTTTCTGTTTCAGAGATCGTATGGGAATATTCCATCTGAATATTGATGCTAAAACGTAATGCTTCTCTCCCCTACCTTTTCCTTCTTTACTTCTTACTTTCATCTTGGCTTTACTTTTTCCTTATAACCTAGCTCTCTCCCAATTTTGCAAAATACTCGCTTATTACAAAGTTGTCGTTATAACTTGAGGCTGAAATGTTGAGCCTTATTGAGTCATCTAGGTTTATATATTTTTATGGAATTAAAGGCTTGTTTTGGGAAGGTTCTTTCAGTTACATTTTAATTTCACAATGAATAATCTGTTTTAATAGAAAAAATATTCTATTTGGATATTGGAAAAAGTATTGAAAGAAGTTGTAAAACTCACAGATCCACTCTTCCATTCCACATTCACTCAACTACCACATCTACATTCCCCAAAGGAAAATGGAAGCTTATTTTCTGTAGAAATTGAACTGGAGAGTTACAGATTCAGGAATACCTGGCAAAACAAAAGATAGGTTTATCAGCCTATTAATAAAGTGATTAAGTGGAAATTTACATACTGATTATTGAAATCTAAGAGTGTCACTATTCTGCTTATCTCCAAGAATTCTGGTAGCCAGGGACTAAATGAAAGTTTACATACTGAAAGATTCAATCCCCAGCTCTCTTCTCTAACCCTTTTGCCAGATTATCTATCAACCAGACATATATTTTCTGATACAAAATTAAACTCTGGAGACACTGAATGGACATAGAGAAAGACCTCTAAATAGAGGTTTTCCAGGGTCCATCATGAAAAAGCTGTCTCACTACCAGGTCATTCTTTTTTTTAAAAAAATATATCTATTGATTTCAGAGAGAGGAAGGGAGAGTGAGAGAGATAGAAACATCAATGATGAGAGGGTCATTGATCGGCTGCCTCCACACCCCACACTGGGGATCGAGCCTGCAACCAGGGCATGTGCCCTGACCAGGAATCAAACCTCGATCTCCTGGATCATAGGTCAGTGCACAACCACTGAGCCATGCCTGGCTGGGCTACCAGGTCAATCTTCGATGAATTCCACTAGTTAGAAATTCCTACTAGAGCATACAGGATTTATAGTTCCTAACTCTTAAATGTATACAGATAGCCAGATCTCCAGACATTTGAGAAAAGCCCCCAACATCTCTTTTTTTGAAGAGAGACTTGAAACCAAGCAATAGCTGTCAGGGGTGTTGCTGTCATTTAGAGAATGTCTTATACAAGCTGTCTGCATAATTTTTAAAGTCAGGAGTCATGTTTTAAGGACACTTATGGAAGTCACTATTTAAAAAATTCCTTTCTTATAGTGTTAATGGAAATTAACTTTTGTTAATCACCACAGGTAGAAAGTATCTTTCTGTGGTTAACCTCTAGAAGTCAGTTAGAAGTGTTGTATATAATCTGGTAAAGGAAGTAGAACATACAGTCTTTAAATCTGACACCATTGATCATAGTCTGGGATGAGGCTATGTCAGTCATCTTTCAAATACTGATAGGGTCTTAGTACTAGGATCCAGCAAGCATTGGCTGCAAGATAATGGCATCTCCAAATAATTGTAATGAATCTCACCATTAAGGCCATCATTAAGGACTAGGTCTGAATCATATATTGTGGTGGGGAATATTCTGAAGTTTTAAAAATTCAGAATTAGCTAGTAAACAGTGAATATTACAAAAGTAGGATGGGAGTGGGTACTAAAGCAAGAGTAAAACTTCTGGACATTCTTACCTAAGCAGAAGGGGAATTAAAGTAATTTGAAGATTAGACCAGAGGAGAAATTTTTGGATAAGGAAGCACCTTCTTCCTTAGTTAAAGACCTCAAGAGTTCTAGGTCATGGTGGAAGGACTATGTCCTCTATTTTCTGTGAACAAAGTTCTTACCTCTAATATAAGTTTTCTTGTTATATTCTATATCATCTTAATTTATGTGTCTAGAGACAAAGAGGAGATTTTATGAGGATATAAGGGTTCATCCATCAAAAAGATACAACAATTACACACATAGTTCCATGTAACAATAGAGCCCCAAAGTACATGAAGCAAAAACTAGCCAAATTGAAGAGGAAAAAAAAAATTCAGTAGTAATAGTTTGAGCCCTAGCAGGTGTGGCTCAGTGGTTAGAGTGTTGGACTGTGCATTGAATGGTCACAGGTTCAGTTCCTCAAGGGCATGTACCTGGGTTGCAGGTAGTCAGGGCTGGTTGATGTGTCTCTCTCACATTGATGTTTCTCTCCCCCCCCCCCCC